GACTATTATTGCCCTGGAAATTCTCAGGGAGTCTAAGGATAAAAGACTGAAACAAAGACAGTGCTCTTGTGAGTGACAAAGGACCTCACTACTTACAGTTCCCTGCCAGACTTTACTGAGCTCATCCCTCACATCTGAGCTCATCTTGGCAAAGTCCATCTTCACTGTCCTTCAATCTGAAAAACCACAGGTACATCTGTTTTGGGCATCATCGTGCAATTCCACAGCTGAGCTCTCTAAACAAACTGTCAAGGTTGCAAAGTCAGACACAGAAGACCAAAGGACATCTCAAGAGACTGTCAAAAGTCCACCTCCCTGCACTGAGGCAGGATCAAAGATACCCAGACCAAGAGATGCTGCCTACCCTACTCCTTAAAGCTGCTGAGGAGAGGAGACCCTCAGCATCTCGAGGTAATCTGGTCGGAATTTTTAGCACCATATGCCATGTTTCACACTTTCCAAGAGATTTGGAACAACTGGAGACCTAAATCCCTAGTTCAGAGCACAGAAGTTTTGGAGACAGAATTCTTCATGCCCCAGTGCACGTGTCAGGGGAGTGACTGCCTCAAAGCACTAATTCAGTCCCCCTCTGCAGCCCAGTCCAACCAGCTTCAACCACCCTCCCTAAAGAAAAGCCTCCTGCAGAGGTTCAGCCTTCACCACCTCATCCTACAAAAAAAACCCCACAACACATGCTGAGCCAAAAAGAATCCCAGTGTAAGGCCCAGCCTCACGTGCCTGGGCAGGGGACTCTGGTGATGGTAAGGCTTTTTTGCCATGGGGCTGAGGCATGGGACAATCTCTAACTTTACACAGTTTCATTCCAAAAGGTAGGCTCCACACTTACGTCTCTTTGTCACTACAGATGCGCTGATACAGCTAAGGTACACGGAAATTCAGAGAACTTTCTCCTAGGAGCAACCTCATTGTGACAAAACAGGGGTTGTGTGACAATTCACAGTTGAAAAATGAGAGTAATGAAGAAGATTTGGGGCTTTGATGTTACAAAAAAACCAGTGCAACTGGTAGCCCACCCTGATCACTGGGAACATAGTACTGGTTACATTATAATAAAACCTTGCCCAAGTTCACTTTAAATATTGCTGCTGAAATCATTTACACTTAACAGTGTTGTCCCAATTAGCCATCTTGTCAGACAGAGGCGATTGTTCCCCACCACAGAGAAAATGCAGTCCCCTCATTATTTTCTTCAACAGAGTCAGCCAACATGGCTCATTTTCTTAATAAATTAATTCTCATAACTTAGTAACACTTCAAACTACTATAAACACCTCTTGAAAGGGTACCACAATTTTAATCAGTTTCAAACATCAGATGTTGGGTTTGATATTTACGCTTGTTCTGACTCTGTTTCATTTAAGGGCTCCTTTTGTGTATGAAAGGAAAGATAAGAAAGTTAACTGGGACACCCACTGTCAAGTCTCTAATTTAAGGGGAAATTGCCTCTGTCACTGACTGTCAGATGCTAATAGCTGCTGCTACTATTTTCCATATGATACCAGGCAAGTGATCTTAGAGAAGTATCCTTCATCCCATACAAAGAATTGATTGAGTCAGCTAATTGAATGACTGTGCCCCTGCAGTCTCTAAAGCAGACATTTCTCTAGGTCCATTTTAACCTACAGGGGGAAAAAAAAAAATATCTCTAATAACTGCAGTGAGAACTCAGTGTGGTATTATGAGGAAGTGACTGGGTATTATTCCTTTTTAAAGCCTCTTTTATAAGGATTCCCCATTAGCCTTTAATTAGCAGGCCAGCTCCCATTCGGAGGTTTCTGATCACTTATAGCCCAGTTTAACGCTCACTGAAGGCAACAAGACCGAGTCCCTTGAACTCGGTGGGGTCTGCAGGAGGGCTTGGGGCCGTGCAGGGAACCCCTCTGGTACCAACACAAAGTTAATTGAGCCGGCCTTTGATGCCCAGCTCTGGGTGTCAGCCTTTGGAAGAGTTTTCCTGCAGAAGATAAGAAGAAAACCTGGACTTCCAGATTTGGGGCTATGTAAATACATCGTCTGTGCTCGGCAGGTATCACACTCATTTGTCTTTAGCTATAGAGAAAAGTGAGATGATCTATCAGCCTATTAGATTTGACTATTTACATGTATTTGAAATCTTTGCTTACGTAAAACTACAACAGAGTGTTATAGAAAAGAGCATCTGCCAACACACAGTGCTCTGCTAAAGGCAGGTATATGTAAGATCATCAGTTAGCTATGACAGGTGATTTAGCGTGATTCATCTTTCAGGATCACCTCATTCACAAGGAAAATTGAGCGTCAGCCCCATCCATAACCTACAGATACCATCTAGATACTTGAAAATGATAATAGGTTAAAGGATGCAGTAGCCAAAACTTTTAACCCAAAACCTTTTGGAATCGAACCTGAAAACATCAGTAGCCCAGACAGAACCAGTAACACAGATTGCCAGGGGCTAATGAACTAAAAAAACTCTTTACCCAGCACATAATTTTGCTGTTGCTGGGAGAGCACTACTCAGTCATTTCGGTGCAGATCCAAGAAATTTCCTTCTCATGGTGTTTCTCCTTTTGAGTCAGACACAAATTAAGACTAAATTAAGAGCTGTGGTTCAAAACAATTTAATAGAACGTGAGAACAAAGGCGAAAACTTAGATCTCTGCCTTGCAGGTGCACATCCAGAGCACACAGCCAAAGAGGGGTATTCATTTCCGGGGGTGATGAGCAACGAAACCAGGAGGGAAATTTTTGGAATTTGGTGTCTGATGCCCCCATACCACCTCCTCCCTTAGGAAAGCCCTACCCAGCCAGAATGATAAGCTCTGGGCTTCACTATAACTGCATCCAACATCGCTCAGTCTCCAGCGCCCCACCGGACATCAAACCACACCGAAATACAACACTGCCACTTCCTCCACTTAAAACAAGGGATGATGGGTCAATCCATGTGGAGCTACTAAATTCATACAAAATATTTCAAACAGCTATTCCATCCCCACCACTCCTTAAAAAAAAAGGTTACCAAACCTTTAAAAGGATTTCCCATGCCCCGCAAAACAGGTGGGAAGCTCTAAAGCACAGCCTGGAGATTTAGCCTACACATGCCAGATTCAAGATTTGGCCAAAAACCTTAAATGAACCAACACAACAGCTGCCACGAAAGCCGACAACCTCTGATCAATACCTTCCATGTTTAAGGCAGCACAAACCGCCTCTCGGAACAACGTTCTTAAGCCTGCAAAGAGTAAATAAATTACAACAAATTTAAGAAGCTCGAGTTTTGCTCGGCTTGGGAAAGTCGGGCAGAGCCCTTAATTTTTCAACAGCAGCACATGCTTAACACAGAGCAGCAGTGATGAAAGCATTTGAGACACCTATGAGAGACCAAAAAAACACCTCTAAGAAGACAAGATATTCCCCAAGGCTGCAGATACACGTGTGTTGCAAGAACTAACAAAGCTTAAAACCCATTGAAAATGTTAACACAATGAACATGAAAATATTCAATGTGGTAAAGAATTTTTGCATTACTTCATCCCAGATCTTTTTATTCTCTAATTTGACTCTGATTTTTAGTCCACATTATAAAGAAGATTTAAAACATGGAGATTTTTCCCTTCCAGTGAAGCCTTCCCATTAATAAAAGGGAAACAAAGAAAATGAAGAAAGCGAGTAGTAAAAGTTTTACAACATAATAAAGTATATCAGACTCCCAATGCAGTACAATTGGAATTGTCTAAAGATGCTGAATTATGGGCAGTTGTCGTATAAAGTTCAGTCCACAGTGTTACCAATCATCTTCTCCAGCAACATGTATATAATTGGGAGATTTCATAATAACCCTCATTTTTAAAGGCTCATAAAACTGTGTTTTACTCATAATTTGCAGGAGGAAAGATTTCTTAAAGGAAAGTAACATCTTTTTCGCAATCAGAACGGCTCTGAAGTCAATACACTGTGTATTTTCAAGCAAGCAACCCTAAAAGCTCTCTTTTTTATCCCCCTCTACAGTTTTTGGTGGGGTGTTATACAAATATTCTGTTTAAAAAGATAAACATGTATCTACAGCACACACAAACCTGAAAGAAAATTAACTATGTTGAAAGCAAAGCATGTTACATTGTTTCTTGAACATAAGTAGAGAGGTTACAGTAAGGTAAATATCTTGATGTAACACTGTAAAATAACCTACAGCACTCACACACAGAAAACAGAGAAAGCTGCTTTTATGAAATGTGTGTAAACTACATTTATCCACCTCCAACAGACAGCATGAGAATAATTACAGAAATATTATCAGCGCTTGACACTCTCAGTGGACTCCCAAAACTCTACATTTTCTCAGTTTCCCCCCGACATCCTAAACCAAAATCCTTTCAGTTTGTCAGAGTCAGCGACCAAGCACCATAAACTCCCAATTATCCCAGCCACTTCTGGACTTGCCAAGGCACAGCTGAAGTAATGAATAGGATGCTGAAGTTACCGTAAGGAACAGTAAAATACAACCTGCTATCAAACCCAGATATTTTAACTTTATACTTTTGCCAGAGTGAAGGGTTTTTTTGTAAATAAAATGTGTTTGTTTTCAAATAAAGCTACTTCAAGCTGTTTCAGGAAGCAGAGTGAGTAATAATAATAATACCAACTTCCATTTGGATTTCAAAACCTGAGGAAACAAACCAGCATGTGTCAAGCCTAGCGTTTTCCTACCTGGAACAGGTAAGGACCAGCTCTCAAATGCCACCTTAGGATAGTTCAGGCTAGTAATTCCGTTCATGTTTAGATGAGACACCAGCATGAACAAGAAAAAACCAAAAAACAAACAAACAAACAAACCCCAAACAAAAACAACTAAAGAAAAAAAAGCCCAACAAAAGTCCCCTGTCCTCCTCTGTTATTAGCAATGTCTACAGCAGTGGTTAAGAAGCAAGCCGAGGACCCGGAGGACCAGACCAACCCAACCCTCTGCTAGAGAGAAACAGGCTTAAGAGGAGACTTACTGCTTGCCATGTGACAGGGGGAGGTGTGCTGGCCATTGGGAGTGCTGGAGGTGAGGTCAATGGCCATGCCGCAGTGCTCCCTTTCAGGAGAATAGTCATTGTCACCTGTGTGCACAAAGCGAGTTCCCCGTGAGTTTCCATCCCCTTCTTCAGCAGAGCTGCACAAAGATCAAGGACCACAGCCCGTTCGCTCCCTTCACCCCTGCCCTTCCCTTCTTTACTGGTGGGGTCTTCCAGAGCCTGTAAAATCTGGGCTCCCACCGGACACAAACAAGCATTTGACTGATTTTAAGAGCCCCCTCAAACCCACCGTCACCAGTCTTTCACACACACACACACACACACACACACACACCTGTGACAAACTTTGCCCCAGCTGCTTGGTTTCAAGTAAGTTAGGATTCCTTTGCCATTAGCAGGCACGGACAATCCAGGCTGGGCAGGGGAAGACTGGAACAGCGCTTCACCACACAGACCTTCCCCCCAAAGCTCGGGGTTAACTGACAGTCAAACAAAGCACTTACAGAAACCCCCACAAAGAAAACAAGAGAAATGCATAGGGAAAGGCATAAAAAGGTTTTGGCTGCAATTTGAATTTCTGAAGACAAACTCTCTCATTTGCTAAGTCCATGTACCCTCAGCAAACATTTAAACCTGTGCACCCATCCCCATGCATTTCTCAGTCATACTTATATTTAAATGCCATTAATTCAGTGTCAATGCAAAGACCATACACCAGGAACGTAAAGTTTCAGGTGGCTGCATTATAGAAAGGATAGTGGGAAAAGAAAAGTAATTCAGAATAATCAAATGAAATGACTACTTACATGTTATATATCCATCAGCAGCCTCTGCTTCCATAGTCAAAGTGCAGTGCTGCAAGGCAGAAAAGTACACCCTCAGAGACTCCTGTCAGTATCAACCATTAAATGATTAAACTTACTTAAAGCCCTAAGTAGTTGCCCATTTTACTGCTGTTGCAACCACTGCCTAGAGAAACACACAAGTGCACTGCATGTGCTCGTTTGCAAATCACTGAACTCTTCCTGTAAATTATGTGAGTAAAGAAATGCAGCTGCCTCTTGGGCAGGTGGCACTGGGATCATCCTGATCTGACCATTCCTCTCTCTCTGTGCCCCACTCACGTTTTTGCCTGATTTGAGAGTTTTTTCTCTGACTTTCCACTTGTTTTGTTCAAGCTGGGATGGTAACTCTTTATCTGCTCTTGCAGCCAGAACAGACTTTGAGGAGATGGATACCTTTAACAATTGCTCTTTTCACACACACTACCAGAGACTCCATCCTGATCAAAACAAAATAAACCCTCCTAGTGTCTCTTCCCCTTCACCAGAGTTGTTCCAGCTCTTTGTCTCACACCTCTGTGCTCACACACACACCTGTACACACACCTGTTCATTCCAACCCTATTTATCTACCACAGCACAGGGCCAAACATCCCACTTAAAAATCCCAGATCGTACATTTTGTGGTGTGAAGCAATCTTAAAGTTTCTGGAAGCACTTTGCTGACACAGAACAAGCTATTACTTTCCCGAAACCCAAGTAACTGTATAGAATGACACCCCCTAGCTATCATTTGATATATATTGTGTGTGGGGGGGGGGGAAATAAGAGAGGGATCAATAATCATAACTATGTTCTTTTAAGCGGAAAAGTTAAGAATCTGACATGACCAGAGGAGAATTTTATTTCCTCTCTCCCTCCACGGCCTCTTTTTTGCCTTTAGTTTCAAAACTCTCACTGCACCAGGCAGCTAAATTATTCACAATGAGCCATTTCTGTATTGATCGCCAAGTATATTTAGCCCTGGCTCCTGGAATTTCTCCATTACTTACTGGAAAACAGGCAGCTTCACTTCTTGTCTCCAAAACCACTTCCCTCCCCCTCCCTTAGCCCTCTTTCCTTCCCCCCTGCTCCCCGCCTTTCCCCAATAAATAAATACTTTTCTCTGTGCTCTTCTTTGGTATAAAGCAGATCAAATTCCCAAGGCATTCAGCACATAACACTTAAATTTCAACCTGCCCAGCTGCTACCAAACTCTCTTCAATTACTGATTTTCATGACTCTTAAAAAGAAATCTCAAAAACCCCCAGAAGTTTTCAGAACAGGTAAGCCACTTCCTCAAGCCCTTCAAAATTACCTTATCTTCCCCCTAGTCCAGGTAGGCAGGCACACACTGAGAAAAAGAAAGAAACATCAGAAGCAACAGGGAAAGATCATCCCAGCCAATGAAGTGGAAGGAAAGAAAGGGGAGGAAGGGAGGAGGAAGAGAAAGGAAGACAAAAAGAAACACAGAAACATCCATAACCGAAGTTAAAACACGGCCTGATTTTAATTTTTTTTTTCTTAACTTCTTCAAGGGGGAGAGGAGAAGGAAAAGGAGGGGGAAAAGAAAAAGTTTGGTCACCATTTTTTAGGCTGGTGATGGCAAATCCCAGCTGCTAAACCTCCCTCTCCACAACGAATGGAGGGAGAGAGTTTTGCTCGAGCTGAAGACACAGAAAGATGGAGAAAGTTTAAGAAAAATACTTTTTTTTTATAGGCGGGAGGAGCGGGGGGAGAGAGAGAGACGGGGAGGGAGAAAGGGATAGGGGAGAGAAACCCGCCCCCGGCACTTACAGGTGGGGCATGCGGAGCCGGGGAGCCGGGAAGCCCCGGGATGAGCCGGCGGGGAAACTCGCTCAGGAATGGCACATACTTTGAAGGAAGATGAAGAACGGGGAAAAAAAAGAAAAAAAAAAAAAAAAAAAAAAAAAAAAAAAAAAAAAAAAAAGAAAAAAAAAAAAGAGAGAGAGAGGGAGAGGGAGGGAGGTCAGCCGCTGCTACAGCAATGCGATTAACCAGCGCGGAGAGAGAGGGGGAGAAAGAGAGAGAGAGAGGGAGAGAGGAAAACTTGATCCACCGGTTCCTTACGGATAGGCAAGGGATCGGGGGGAGCGAAGGGGATGCGAGGCGGGATGGGGTGAGAGGATGCGGGGAGGGGATGCGGGGCAGGATGGGGCGAGGGGGGCCCGGCGGGCGCACTCACAGCCCGCGCACCAGAGCCGGGCCAACTTCCCCGGAGCGCCGCTCCGGCCCTGGGCGACGCCGGGCTCCGCGTCTCATCCCTGCCGCTCCCCACCCCTGCCACAGCCTGTCAAAGTCATGGAAGTCCTGCCTCGCTTGTCATTCCATTCCCTTTCCCCCTTCCCCCCGCCGCAGGCCGCAGCCCCCCGGGGGCGCGCAGGTGGCGGCGGGTGCTGAGGGAAATGGCAGCGGGGCCGGGCTGGGTAACGGACCGGCGAGACCCGCCAAGGCTCCGGCCCCAGCCTCGTCTGGTCTTTGTGGGGATTATTTAAAATTATTTTTTATTTTCTGGGCTACCAGCAACAAGTCATCGGCGCCCGCGGGGATGCTGCACAGCCGCGCTCGGCTCGGGGACCCTCCGCACACACAGACCCGCACGGACGGACCGAGCCCCGCGTCCCCCCGGCACCGGACGGAGCTGTCCCTCCTCCCGCCGGGGAAAGGGGGACTGGGGAGGGAGAGGAGGGGAGGAAGGGGAAAAAAAAAAACAAACATAAAACAGAAAAAGAAAGAAATAATAAGAAGCCAGGCGCAGATTTACCTCAGCCGCGCAGGCAGTGAGTCAGTTCCATCCCCCTTTTGTTTGTGTGTTTATTAGTGTCGGCTCCCTCTGCCCAGTGGAGGTGTGTTTGTGCACGGCAGTTGGCTGTGGGGGGACTAAGGCGGCGGAGGAGCCGTAGCTAAGGGTAATCCTGTTTTTACTTCCTCCATCTTCAGAGAGCAGAGGGTTAGCCTGGGACAGCTGGTCAAACCCCGAGAAACCGATCCGGCGGCGGCGGCGGCGGCGGCCGCGCTCCCTCCCTGCCTCCCTCCCTCACACACACAGACACACACACGCTCATTCACTGCCTCCCTCACACACACACACGCTCATTCACTCCCTCCCTCACACACACACACGCGCACTCCCTCCCTTCCTCCTTCCCTCCCACAGGCACACGCACCCACACACCCTCCCTCCCTCACACACTCCGTCTCACACACACACGCTCTTTCTCTCACACCTCCTCCCTCACACGGACACAGATTTGCACGCTCCCTCCCTCGCACACCCACTCTCCCTCACACTTGGTCCCTCACTCACTCATCACTCCCTCCCCCCCCCCCCCCCCCCCCCCCCCCCCCCCCCCCCCCCCCCCCCCCCCCCCCCCACTCGGTCCCTCTCTCCTCACACTCGGTCCCTCACCCCCCCCCCCGCCGTCCCACGCGCGGCCGCCCCACACACATTCCCGTTCCCGCCCGGGGCTCCCGCAGCCCGGCGGGGGGCGGGTGCCCGCAGCCGGCGAGAGGCCGCTCAGCGCGCTCGGCAATCGATTACAGGACAAGTGCGGCCGCCGCC